AGAGAGAGAGAGAGAGAGAGAGAGAGAGAGAGAGAGAGAGAGAGAGAGAGAGAGAGAGAGAGAGAGAGAGAGAGAGAGAGAGAGCGATTTGCTGTGCATTCGGCTTACCCATCGCATGCCAGAACATAACGAACCGGCTCAGGTGCGAAATTGCGCCTTTTTGCCTGGCGCCAACAGTCTTTTCCGACCCGTAGGTCCGAGCATGAAACTATCATGGCGGGTTAACCGCTGGATAAGAGCAAATAGCTGGGACACGTACTGGCTCAGTTTACAGACAGGCGTGAGAGTGAACCCCACCTTTGTGCTCAAGGTGTCTGCTTTAGCCAAGGATTTCCTTCCCATCACAGAGAATTCTGTAGCCTCCCTTTCCCCCCACCATCCGAAATGAAGCTCATTTGACAAAAGCCAGGTGCCCTGACTGCTGACGTATCTCCACTGGCTATGGGCCTGGGGATCAACACCATTTCAAAGATCTAACACACTCTGAGAGGTACTTGGGTGTGATGGTCTCCTTCAGAGACCACAGCAGCACCCAGAGGAGGGGCATGAGGTGTGCATGGTGCATGCCCCATAGTAGGGGGGGCGCATGCTCGAGGCTGCGTTTCCGCTGGGACCCTGGCTGAACCCTGATCGGTATCGCCCACCTGCTGTGGCAGGTATCTCACCTCGAGCATGCACACCCCCTACTATGGTCTGCATGGCAGCAGCCATGCAGACCATAGTAGCGGGGGCACACATCGCAGAAGACATTGGTGTATAGAGAAAGGCGTGGACACCAATGTCTTCTGCGATGTGTGCCCTCATCCTTCCCCACAAGACTCCGGCCACGACCTGTGGTGGGAATGCATCGTTGTCAGAATGGATAAGGTGGGACTGGATCCAGTGGGACTGGATCAGGTGGGAATGGATCTGGTGGGACTGGGTCCGGTGGAACTGGATGAGGCGGGACTGAATCAACTGGGAGTAGATCAGCTAGGAATGCATCAGGTTGGAATAAAATCAGGTCGGACACGACGCAACTTTCTTCTTGTTCTTCGTCTTCCTTTTTTTTTTTTTTTTCATTGATTGGAGATCAGCACGTTGAAGGTTGGTCACCAGAAAACTGGTTTCTTGTTTCTTGTTTTTTCAACTTTTTTGTTTTTTTTTTTCAATATTTGTGTCATCCTTGTGCAGGGGCCATGCTAATCTTCTCTCTCTGTATCGTTCCGATTTTAACGGATGTCCCGAAGGACAGAAAAGTGGTTTCTTTCGGCTGGCCAGAGAGATTTTATTTCTTACTTTTGGAGCAGCCGTTTCAGTCACCGTATGAACTGCTCATTTGTACAATCAATATGTCAAATAAATGAGACGTTGTAGAAGTCCACAGCGAGATAGACACGACTTGTTCAACGCCGCTGAAGATACTCAATAGTGAAGATACTCGCTGCGAAGACTCAAGCTCGTCGTAAAAGGGTATCACTGGGAACAGCCAGCCCTTGGTCGGGATCAGATGGGGACTGGATCGGGTGGGAAATTCAATGGATCACATGGGACTGGATGGGGTGGGACTCCGTGGGAGTGGATCCAGTGGGAATGAATCAGATGGGACCGGATTCACTCCCAGAAGACCTTGGCCACAAGGCATTCCCACCAGAAGGTGGTGGGAATCCTCTCGTGTCTGTTGCTTGTGCCCTACAGGGTAACGAACATCCTGGCCAAACAAAAATTGATCTTCCTGGGTGTCAATATCACAGGCCCCAAGCCATAGCCAGTTACTTCAGTCTGGTCAGCCTCTGGTTGCTGCGGACGTCCCGGAGGGACAGGAGATTCAACGGTGCTGCTATTGTCCGCGTTCGTCATAAGTTCAAATTGGCTCTTGGCAACCGAATGCCCCCTTGCAGAAAATGGGGGAGGCTTGCAAACACTGACCTTCTTTCTGCAGCCCAACTCTCACTGACGGATAAGTGGGCGGCCGGCTGTGACTGGATAAGATCATTTTTCAGTCATCGGCTGCCTGGTCTTTTCTAGAGTCCTCGGGTGCGAGCTGCCTGGTGCTGCCGGCGTTCTTGCAGAGGGCCCTTCAAGCCTTTCCACAGCTCCATGTTAACCTGTGGCCATTTTTTTTTTTATTTTTTTTTTTTCCTGTGGCCATTTTTACAAAGCCGGGACCAACAACTGGGGCCATGTCCCACTCGCACCGTTGAGTCAGCTCAACGCTGAGTTCTCTATCACGTGTGACAGGGCGCGACGTAGGAGATGCAAGACCGAGGAGGGATCTAGCGGTTGTTTCTTTTGTGAAAAGCGGTGGGACTTTCTATTTCCTTTTTTAATCAAGAAACCATACATGCAAGCGGGGGACGCCGTGCGGAAAATTCCACACGTTTGGCGCGCGAGCAGACCCGCACGGCATGTGCGGCGCACAAGGGAAAATATTCACTCAAAAAAAAGGGGATCGCATGGCTGGGTCAATGGTAACCTGCATCCCCTTTAAATATTTGTTGTGGGATGGGGGGGGGAACTAGTGGGAGGGTAATGGCGCTACCTGAAAGTCAAGACTGATGTCCCAGACACCTTTTTGAGGCTATTTCTCATGCATAATTGGACGGAAAGAAAACCCATTCGTCTGTGCTTGAAAAAGATCAGTTCCTTAGGTGTTGCACTCTTCTGTATCTACAATTTTTTT